GGCAAATGTAAATGCTATGTGCCTTAGCCAATTCCTGAAAAGCTCGAAGTGGTTCTCCTGCTGCGGGGTTTTGTGGATACGGCGGTATCATACTGACCTATGTTTACCTAGCGGTAGCCACGTTAGCCTTTTTATATATTTTATATTCGAGGCTAGATAAAAAAACAAAATAAATACGATTTAAGATTTTGACCATGTTTGGAACAAAGAAAAGTGAAACTAGAAAGAATTTAGTTTCGCTATTTTTTTAAGATGCTCCCTCTTTTTATTTATCCTTATTCGTCGGTCAATTTATTTAATAATCTATTTATTAATAGTGAATCTATGTATGTGCATGTGTATTTCATATAGCACCTTGCATATGTGGTACATGTTTTACAATGACTGACTGAAATACAGGCCTGAACCATAGGAGGAATGACAGATTACTGCCGACGACCTTACACGTATTCTTATAGGATCTATAGAGGAAACATCACAAATCTCTCACAAGATCAACCTTTTCCAAATGAAACTTAAATTAGAAAGAGATTGAATTTTAACTCCGTGGTACAAGAAAATAAAATTGTGCAATTTTTTTTTGCTTTTTGAAGTATTAGGTTGAATTTTGTGTATTTTTTCAAATTTTAAAAAATGTACATTTGATATTAATAAGTTGCTAATTATGTCTCCCACAATGCATACTTCTTATATAATCACACATATATCTATAGATTTTTCATGTGATTAAATAATATAGATAGATTTTCATGTCAGAATTAAATAGTATACATCATAATTAATAAAAATTATTGCATATGGCTGTTTTTTATACTCTGTACTGAATATAACTTTGGTTTCGAGTTTGTAACCACTTGAAGGGTCGTCTCCAGTATGGACATGTAAGTATATTATTGTTCAATGAACAAATAAACGAACAAATAAGACCAAATTTTCATAAGTTGCTTCTTTTGTGCCAAGGACAGACCCTATTGTTATTGTACCCATTCGGTAAACGGGTTCAGGTAGATGCCATACAACTTAAAGATTATTTTAAATTTTTCAAGAACTAACAAAGATATAAATATGAAATTTTGTACACGAGTGTACAATTACATTTTACATATGCTCTAAAGATTTCAATGGAATGGCTGCTCTGGTTTGGGTAACTGCCATGTAACTCCAAAAGCTAATTATAAATATTGGGAAAAATAGTAAAGTTAGGTTCATGTGATTTACCAGTTGTGTGTCTAATTATAGGTCACACATATCCTTGAAGTTTTTTTGGAATGGCTTGACAGGTTCGAGTAATTGCGATTTAACTGCAAAAACTAATTTTAAATATTCGGAAAAAAATAAGGTTAGATTCATCAGGCTTGGTAGTCATGAATTCAATTATAGCTCAGGCAGGTTCAAGTAACTTGCATACAACCGTAAAAGCTAATTCTAAATATTTCAAAAGCAAGTCTTCAGATTTTCAAAGTATTCAGTCGGTTTTTAATGACCGAAATTTTTTGACTTGTTTTATATTAAAAATTATATTTAGTTATATTAGAAAATATATTCACATTATTAGTAAGTCAAATTCACAGATTTAACTAAAATATCGTATCAGGAGCTTTAAAAGCTTATACAGGATAGGTTAAGCTAGATACAAGTTTATAAGCTGGTACAAGTTTCTTTATAATATTTATATTACGTTCATTTTTATATGAGGCACAACTATTTTTTATAATGATTATAAAATTATAAAAAAACTCTATAATAATAATTAAAACGTAAAATCTACTAATTACTAATTTAAATTCTAACTTAAAATTTAAACTTACTTTATTTTATGTAGTGTATTTTGGGCTAAAAAAAATCTGATGTAGTCAGCAAATAACCGACTGCAATGTTTATTGTTTAGTTAAGTGAAAGCATTACAAAAGATTATAAAAATGCCTTTTAAACACTTCTTCCTTACAAAAATGTAAATTTGGCATTTATGGGATTCGCTTTGTGCTATCTGAATTCCCTAAAAACCTCGTCAATTAGTTTTGATAACAACCAAACCTCAAATATCAAATTTCAGGAAATTCCACCAATCCGTTTCGTAGATATGGTAAAAAATGTAAAATCGGTCCCCAGTTTGGTTTCCAATCCCCGATCGTCCCAAAAAATTTGTATGTTAATTTTTTTAATATTCCAAATTCAAATATTCAATTTTAGGAAATTGGTTGATTATTTGTCTTTATATACGCAAAAATGTAAAATTTGTCCGCAAAAAAAGTCCAATTCCTAAGGCGTGATATATCCGTTGATCAATCCGTGACATAGCCAAAAAACCTCAAATACTAAAGTGAGGTGTGTGCACGCGTGTATCACATAGCTCGGTTCAGCCGAACTTGAGATACACGCGTGCACACACAGAAAAACAAACCGAAAGACCAAGACCTCTCTAAAAATAAACTATTAATGCTTCCCTACTATGGAGAACTGCGCTGCCACCGAAAACTCGATATGCAAGATTTGTTGTCATCGTATAATTGTATGCCATGCAAATGTTTGAAACAACAGTTTAACATTTAAAACAATACTGAAATATGAATTTGAAAAAATTTTCAATTTTTTCTTTCTTCCCACCTTTCTTTCTTTTTCGTTCAATAGAATTTAAATGGGAAGCTTTTTAAAAAATGTGTGTTATATGCTGAGATTTTTTGAAATATTCGACTCTCTTTTAAGAAACAAGAAGAAAAAAATAATAAGAAACATGATCAATGGAATTTAAACAAAAAATAGGAACGAGGGCTACAAATCGTAATACTTCGTAAAAAAAATGAGTATTGGGTCTTGCTAGATATAAAGATATTAGCCGTGACTTCATTAATGCTTTATAAAAAGTTTAAGTACGTTATTAGTACAATTATACTACCGTCTCAGTGCTTTCAATACCTTTACATTGTAAAAAAACTGCTGAAGTTTTTGACACATTTTGGAATACAATTTTTACAATATTAATACATACTTTGACGTTTGTTTGAAAATTTAAATTTTAAGATCAGTACAAATATTAATTTTTAACAAACGTTACCGCATCATTAAAACCCTAGCTTTTTTTATGTTGCAGTTTAGGAAAAAAACTTAATAATTAGCACTTTATTGCAGAAAATATATGCTTATTTATTTAATTTGTTATTTTTGGTAACATTTATATGACATGTATTAGATTATCGAAAAAATCGAGCACGCTTTTATTTTTATTTTATTATCATGCTTAGTTCAAACATTTACAATTACTTAACTTATATACTTATGTACCTTCAATTATTTAATTTAATTTAGAAATTAGATGAAATAGGATACATTTTGTATTTATTTTTTTATATTTACTTAAAAATAATCAAATAAAAAGATGCTTAGTGGGCAAAAAGTTTAACTCAAAAATTCTTAAAATAAAAAAAAAACATTGCAAAGTCAGTAAATTATTAATGTAGGTCAGAAAATTTTTCAAATATATAAAATATTATTTATGATATTTACACCCATAATAAATATTATATTAAAAGCTAATGAGCTTACAGACTGTACAGCTAATGTAAATTTATGAAAAGGGTGTTCTTAAGTTGGACTTTCGTTAACGTTAACTCTTCACGCGAAATGTATTCGTTTACAACACCTAACATTCTAGAAATAGGTTCATTCTTGTCATAAGAATGAGTACGATTACTTATATATATTAATTATAAGAATTTAGTACGATATTAATTATAAGAATTTAGTACGATTACAAGGCAGATGGAAAATTTTATTATTCCGAAAACGTCTAACACTGTGAGACTGTGAGAACTGTCTGAAAGTCAACATTATAACGCCATTAATAATAAAGCTAATTCATAAACTCGTTGGTCTTTAATGGAACTAACTCGGTTAAGTTTATCTTTATTTAAGTAATAGTCAAAAATAATACTTAAGGATCGACGAGTGTAAGTAACGACGGAGCATTTCAAGACAAGGAAAAGATTGTTAAAGCCGCACCAATACGAACGAATCCATTTAATATAAACAAGACCAAAAACCATACTTTATTACCTTAAAAAGAATTACGTTATGTGGTAGTAAATCAAAAGGTTTACTCATACGATTGTGTACAACATTCGTCAGGGAACCGGATTCCATTGTATTTAAAAATTTAGAGCTACATTCGACTAGATTGGTGACGGTTGATTTTATTTTTAGAAACCCATGCTGATTTGTCACCACCAACTTTGAACACTAATTGTAAATTACATCATAGACCATTAATTCAAATACTTTTGGGATGCTAGAGAGCTTTGCTACCGGACGGTAATTTTCGATGTTCTTTTTTCTCCCTTTTTGTGTACGGGTCGTATAAAAGAGGTTTTCCAACAACTAGGAAAAGTAAATAAGATTGAAATTGGTTTTGATAGAACAGAAGAACATTGCTTCAATTTCGGGGATATTATCAGGATCCGGAAAGCAATCGTTGTTCCCAAATAAAAGGCTCCCAAATAAAAGCAAACTTTTCTAGCTCGAATTTTTCGATACCCGATTTACTTTTATTTCCCGTATTCACTACGTATAAAAGGCATTTAGGAAAAGTTCATAAGAGCTCTTAATAAACCGAGCATTAGATGCTCAGTGCACACGTCAGAGGTTAAGTGCTGAAAAAGTGACAGGTTTTAACTGAAAAAATGGTTAAGGGTAACGTTAGTTTAACATTCTAATGGCAAAAAATTTTGGTTTTCAATAGACTTTTGAGTTGAAATTTGATTAAAACATTGAAAGTTTAACTGAAAATTCCTTCTTAACATTTCTTAATTAGTTCAATATGATGACTTTGGTGACCCTAAAGAATCCTGTTGCGTTTGAAAAATTTTCTGGTTTGCAATGAATTACAAATAAAGGTATGTACTGTGCGCTCTTACCAGTTTGTGAAATATGATAATAGATTTAAGCTATAAATTTTGTTAAACCTTTGAATTGTGAACCACTTACTTGAGATGCAAAATTAAAATAAATTTGTACTTGTGATTTAGCTATATATATTTCTTTGTGTATGTGTTTTTAAATATATTACAATGATGTTTTTTTTTCTTTACATTTACGTGTTTTTTATACAAAATAATAAATAAAATGCATTACTCTGAATGATACCATACAAAACAATGAAAATATTTCCTTTTTTAATTATAAACTATACAGAAAAAAAATTAGCTTACAAAACTTAAAGATACAAAATTTACTAAAGATATTTTAGATAATAATGAAGATTTATTTTAAAAATATCCGTAGCATTTTATTTTTGAAGATTAACAATTCTTTGGTATTGAAGTAAAGTTTTTGCAACTCTCAAATTATTGGAGTTCTTATACTCGTAGATAATATTTACTATGTGTTGTATCGGCAAGAGCAGGTTGATGAAAAAATGTTTTTAAGAACTTTAGAATTATGATTGAGTTGAGAATTTTATATGAAACTTTTGTCTCTGCCCGTTAAATAAAGACGACTATTTATATTAAGTGAATTTTTAAAATTATGCAGAATTGATTACAATACTTGATTTTAGGTTGTAACCGTTTGGTACAACACCATTAGAATCTAATAGCGGTCTTTAAAATATCTGCATGACATACGGAAAATTATTCACCAGTCATCATTTCCATGAATTCTGTAAAACAAAAATAAAATATTATTAGCGAACATTACGGAATTTATAGTACGAATTTTAAATTTTTACCGTCAAAATCGACGGTACCAGACCCATCTGAATCAATTTCTTCAATCATGGAATCTAATTCTTCGTTAGTTAGAGCATCATCCAATTCCTTTAATATTTCCCTTAAGCATGATGTTGGAATAAAACCGTTACCCTGCTTATCATATAAACGAAAAGCTTCACGTAATTCTTTTTGCATAGATTCAGCATCCTCTTCAATGATGAATTTAGTAGCCAATTGCAAAAATTCTCCGAATTCTAAGCGTCCAGATTCTGTTATAAAAAAATGTTATAAAATTTTGATACATAAAATAAGTTTTATATCAATTTAATAACTTACTGTCTTCATCAACTTCATCGATCAGCTCTTCTAAAATTTTCTTATCGAAGGGTTGACCCATCAATCTTAGAATATCAGCTACAGTTTCTGTTGAAATACTGCCGCATTTCTGGCTGTCAAAGCTGTTGAAAGCTTTTTGGAGAACTGAAATATAGAAAAAACTTCAATTAAAATGTTAGTTTTTTTAAAATTATTTCAAATGAGAAAATTTTTTTTTCGGTATAAACCGACTGAATAGTGCCCTGCACTTTAACAATCCGAGTTTAAAAATTTGTTTTTGAATTATTTAGAGTTAATTTTGATGGCTAAATGGCAATCACTTGAACCGGTTGAAACACTCAATAAAAACTTCACGGATTTTATATCAGATGTATAAGCGGTCACACGACTGTCGAGTTTCATGAATCTAGCCTTAACATTTTTCAAATATTTAAAATTTTCTTTTGGAGTTGTATGGCAGCAATTTGAGCCTATCAAGTCATTACATTAAAGCTTCGGAAATATATCTGAACTGAAATTGGACACACGTTTGCCGAGTTTCATGAATCTACCTTTATTATTTTTCCAAATATTCAAAATTAGCTTTCGGAGTTGTATGGCAGCTACCTGAACCCTTTGTCCAAATTGGTCCAATTAAAATAGCAGTTGTCGTTGGCACAAAGTAAAAAACATGTGAAAGTTTGGTGTCGATTGCATTATTCGTTTTGGAGTTATATGCGATCGGACGGACATGTCTTAATCAACGCAGAATTTTACGCTGAGCAAAAATATATATATACATGTCCATAACGGAAACGACTCCTTTAAGTGGTTACAAATTCCATACCAAAGTGATTATACCCTTCACGAAATGCAGGATGTAAAAAAGGAAAAACGACGTATTCAATTAGAAAAAAAGAATTCTTATTTGACGGCAAATAAAAAGCGAAACGAAAAAGCGAGATACACAATTAAGTTGGTGGAGAAGAGGACATATTTTCTCCTTAAATCCTAATCCCTTTCTATTATGGTATAATATGTGCATTTTAGAACTTTATATAATCTAAACATTCATTATAGGTTTAGATAAATGGATAATTTTAAAATAAATTTTTCCCCTTGAAACAACACAAAATTTTATAGAAAATGTATTACGGAACGGTTGATCTCTTAAATATTTTTGTATATCAATAAATTAATATAAAGACTCGAATTATTGTTGTTTGAAAATATTTTGCAAACATGTAGGTTCCGATTGTGAAACTTTTTCCGATAACTATAGTTTACGTATATCAGTAAAAGATGTTTGCTTGAGATATGTACATACATACATACTTACGTATATGACGATTTTTCCTTATTGTTTACGAAATTGAGTTTTCACGAAAAATACAGTAATTGTGGATCACGGTAGCGTTAGGATGGAAAAAAATGAAATTAAATGTTGAATAAGACTTTTACATAATATCTAAACTAGAACTTTTCGCAAATTACATCAATTACATGAATTATAGTTTTCTTAATTAAGCATTACTTTCAACTAAATATGCAGTTGTTTTTATTATGTGTGTAAAGTAATGTGTATGCTTAACTTTGTTTAGAAAAATATATATGTATCTACGTATGAAATAAGAAATTATCAAAAGTGAATATAGAAAAAAGAATAAATTGTTCTTTTTCTATTTAAAAAACCCCAATATTTCTAACCTATTTGTTAACATTAAAAAAAGGTTTCCAAGCGAAAAGGTTTTTAATCATTTTCAAAAAAAAAAAATGCATTAAGAAGTATAACAGTAATTGAATTTAAAAAGAACAAAATTAAAATGAAATTTAAGTAAAATATGATGTAAAAAGTTATATCAATAAATACATAGTTGAATTTCTGTTTAAAACTTACCAGCAATTTGTTCTGGGGTTAGTTCATCTTCCTAAAAAATTCAAAATAAATTATATTATTTTATAATAGTCTATTTCAATATTATTACACTTTGACGTTATTTTCATTGTGTATTTAATAATATGTAGATTTAAATTATAAACGTTATAAGCAACAAGTTTTTATTAAATAATTTTATTTTGTCAAAAAATTTTTTATAAATAATATTTTAGAGAAATTAGCTTACATCAGCCATTTTAGAACGGATTTAGTTTTTCAATAAAATTAAAATTTAAAATTTAGGTATAATCCGTATTATCAGCAACAGGCTAATCAACTTAAAGCTTAGCGATCGCTTCTCAACTAAATTCGTTTAAACTTTCTTGCTTAATTTTTTATGTTAAATAGTTCTATATGCATACATATGTGTATACACTTATTGATATACATATTTATATGTATATATTGCTTTTTGGAAATTTTCATAATTTACTATAAAATTTTTTTGAAAATAGATTTTTTTTAAAATTTCATAAAACTTTTCTGAGGTTTGTCTTTTCAAAATAATATAATATGGAAAACATGTATTAATTAAGATTGCCAGGTATTAAAAATTCACAAGTGATATGAATTTAGAAAAGTAAATTTGACTAAATAATTACCTAAATATATCTTCAAATAACAAAACTGTTTGATGGATACTTGTTTGGTTGATTTTATTTTAATTAATTTAATGCAGTAAACTTTTTGTTTTTCACAATGATATTTTTCCATATGGCTTTACTTTTCGCAATGATCAAATCACAAAATTTAAACTAGGTCAATAAGGATCTTGATAAGTTAGTAAGGATTTCTTTTTCAATATAATAGAACGCTAACCAAAAAATTTTACGAAATGTAGAAATAAAGGCTTGAAGAGATAACTGATAAAAACAAGCAATGAAAAAATTTTCATACATTCAGGGATAGTTAAAATCTTAATAGGAGTAAATAAATTTAACCTATAGAAAAAGGACAAAACTGAAAAATTAATAATTAGTGTACTTAAATCGAGTTTTGTTAACTATGCATTTTCGGCGTGAAATGAAAAAAATATGTTAGTCTTAAATATTTGAAACAAATTGATTTTGAAATAAATTATTAAACATTTGAATCGAATTAAATATAAGCTGGTTCATAATTTTTAATCGTTTATAAGTCATTTGTTATATAAATATACATGAGTGCGTATATATGACGTAAATGGTTCAAAAATTAGGAAAGCTGTAGTTTTAGATACCTTAATTTAAAAAAGAATACCGGCTCTGGAAAAACCATAATATTAATAATATGAAAATATTGAGAATTATATTTACTTAAAATGTTTTTTTTTATGAATTTTGAAAACACATACTTGCAAAATATGAACTTTTTCAACAAAAAAATCAGTCGGCAACCATGCATTGCAGAAATCTATAATAAAGATTTTTAATTTTCAAGAAAATTTTTGTTTTTCTTAAAATATACTAAATTTATACTTTTGTAAAATCGTGTAGATAAGTTATTAATATGCAGCAAGGCTGCCGTTTGCCTCCGATTTGAAAATTTGTGTCCCCGGCTTCTTCTTTTACATTTTGGCTCCGATTTTATTTTGTTTTTTCTTTAGTCAGACCCGAAAACAATACTGATAATTATTCTTGAAGGAATTTTTCAATTGAAAAATATAATTTCTGAAAAAAAAACTTTTGTAATATATAAAAATTCGTTGATAATACCTTGACTAACGAAATTACGTACATATGTATACCTTTTTCTTCTAATTTAAAAGTCGCTACCTATATTTTTGTAGTCAGTTTAATCAGTTAAGATGTCCAATAACCAATCTCAGAATAAGAATCAATAAGAATCTTTTTAAACAACGATAATATTACAATTTTGAAATTTTAATTGATGTCGATTGATACCTCAGTTAAGCGCATTGTAGTGCGGCAGCTGAAAAGGTATTTTCTTCTATTAATTTGATTAAAACTAAATTGAAAAACTCTTTTTATGTTGAAGTGGTAAGCAACATTTTAAATTCAAAAGAATTATTTAAGTTATTTTTTTTTTTTTTTAATATTAAACGGTATTTTCTGATCATGATAACTACAGCCTAAACTTTAAAAAAAGTATAAACGTATATGAAGTTTCATGTAAAAAATATTATTTTAAGTTTAAGTTTTTATTGTGATACTTTTTAATTCGAATGAATTTATTTATTAATTTGCTTATAATTTTTGTTCAATGTTTTTATTTTGTCTTTTTAATTCTTTTTTGTATTCGTACTATAATAAATTGTTTTTTTATGAAATATGTTAATTGGCTTCACTTTTTTGAAAATGGCTCCCTTTTTTGAATTTTTCTGCTCCTCATCCAAAAAATCAAACGACAGCCCTAATATGCAGTAAGAATTTGGAAACATAACATAAAAGATAGGAAAGTTGTTTCCTTTGTATTAACATATTTATATTTATGTATGTACAGCCATGATGGAAAAATAAAAAAAAATTAAAATGAATTGAATATAGTTGATTGCGATTTTATTTCATGTGTTTTCTTAAAATCATGTTTATTTCCTAGATCTACATATGTGTATAAGAATGTACATACATACATACTTATATAAAACTGAGTTAATATAAAAATTATGGTAAATAAATATTTTTTTGTGGCTACATGTATACATACTAACGCAAAGTATGAAATTCTACGCAAAGTATGAATACTTATTTGCATTCTTCAAATTAGAGCTCACTGGCAAATTGAAAGCTGTCGTAAAGAAATAACTTTGTTAATACATATTATTTTGATTTCATGTAAAATGTGTTTAAATGACGTTATGTACACACATAGATATACAGTGTATAGTTTTAAATGTTATAATATGTAGATATGTATATACAAAAATCTAATAGTTTCCAAACACAATTTTTCCATTTTTTCAAATTTTTCAGAAATAAAAAAATAAAATATTTATCATAGTATGTTACTTTATTAATGCTATATGTATATGTATATCTTTTAGGCCAACCAATATAAATTATTTTCCAAAATTCGGAAAAATATTACAAAACAATTCTTAATGTTTCACGTTTTCGAAGTATGTATGTATGTCGATTGAAATATTTTTTTTTGTGTCAAATTTTTTAGTATTATTTATGATTCTCACTTTATTTAGTTTGGTATTAAAAGTCATCTAGACTCCGTGACATCAATAATGTTATCCTTGTTTAAGCGTTTGTTGTTAAAGTTTGAAATTGAAATTTGAAATTTTGAATAAAAGTAGAATCAATAGAGCCAAAAATATTGATCAATTTCCTTCACACAAATAAATTCCCAAACCCCTTCCATTTAAACTCCATATACGTTGGGAATTTTGTTTTTGATTTGCTGATTTTGATTTGAAAAATGTATGGAAACAAAAAGTGAATTAGACAAACTATTTTATAATAATAATTCTCCTGTTTTTTAAAAAAAGGTAACAAAGTTTAAAAAAACAAAATATAATAACGAAACCAAAAAACAATAAATTTTGTTACAAAAATAAATAAAATAAAATCTGATTAATTGTATATCGCTTCAATTCGTATTTTTAAACACTGACTAGTGTTTTTAACTAGAAAGAGTTCATTATTGAAGTATGTACTTTAGACTTGTTTTATAACTAAATTCGATATAGATTTTTATTCAAAAATTAGTATAATCGGCAAAAAAAAATTTTAAACTTTTAATATCGTATCAGGAACAATGTCGCAAGCCGAATAAAAATGGTCCAAATTTATATCATCTCGTAACTCGAAATGTTGCATTAGAAGATGTCGTATCTCGAGGACTTAGTGTATTTATAAACACATTTTTATATGTACATCAACACACAATATACTACAAGGTATGTGCACAATATGTTTCATATTCATAATTTTATGAACTTATATATACACACATATTATGTATGTTTCATTTATACAAGGTGGTTCACATAAATTGGTAAATAATTTTAGGGATGATTCTTTGATCAATTTTCAGCAAAAAATTGTATGAATATGGGAGGGTGCAAAGATACTTGTTTTCGAGCCCAAAAAAAAGGTACCAGATTTTTCCTGCATATAAATTTTTTTTGCTTTAATAACCATGAGCCAGTTTCTAACGTAATGGAGTTTACTAGGCATGTGACGAGCATACCGTAGTTTTTTCTTTATATTAAATATTTAAGGTTATTGATATTTCTTGTTTTATTTTGCTGGTATTTTTTTAATATTGGATATTATTGATATATAGCAATTAGTTAATATTAGGTCTGTCTGGTATAAGAAAGTTTTTAAAGAGCTTTAAAAACTTTATAAAGTTTTTGCATGCAAAGCGTCTGGGATAATACTTTTTGAACAAAAATGAGAGAAAATGTTGACATTCTCATTTTCTCAAAGTTTAGTTTTTTCAAGTTTTGTAAAGTAAAATTTAATGTTTTAAAAACTTTTAAAATCTTACAGCTGTTGAAACATATGTTTTTCTTGGTTACGTCAGAAGATTTTATTTTTGAAAAAATATTTTTCATCAAAATTAACTTTTTATTCAAATTTTTTCAATTAAAAATAAAATAACCAAAGTGGGTTCACAAATGATTTTTTTTAAGTTTCACACTTTTATAATTTAAAATCAAAATTTTCGGCAAAAATATATGTTTATGTTTGAGTTTTCTGTCTGATTCATTTTTCAAGTTTTCTGTCTGATTTATTTTTTTCTTTTTGCGTTCTTTCTCTTTTTAAAGTTTTTTTCAAGTTTTATCCTAGACCTATACCTATTAATTTTTTTAATTTTATATGTAATGTGTTATAAAGCTATATTATATTGAATATAAATTTTATAGTTACCTGACTGGGCTTTGAACCCGAGACCATTCAGTTAAGGAACCAGTGCAATAACCAGTGTATCATTTGTCAGGTACATGTAAATAAACGCTTCCTGCAAATAAGTAATGGTTTCTGAATAAACGCTTATAATTTCGGAACCATCGAGGGTTGAATTTTCAGAGGATTCCTTTTTTTACCGCAAATTGATCTAAGAATCATCCCTGAAATTATTTGGCACCTTATGCAAAACACCCTGTAAATAAACGTTTCCCGCATATAAGTAATGGTTTCTGAATAAACGCTTATAATTTCGGAAACATCGGGGGTTGATTTTACAGAGGATTCCTTTTTTTGCCGCAAATTGATCTAAGAATCATGCCTGAAATTATTTGGCGCCTTATGCAAAACACCCTGTGTGATATGTACAATATATTTCATATCCACAGAGTATTTTTCAAAACAGAACATAAGTATTGCTGAAAAACATTTGTTATTTTGTTGAATATAATATGTAAATCTATGGGAACTG